CTGTGCGCCGAGGACGTCAAAAGACTTTCAGTGTTTGACCATCGATGTCTTCGGAGCATTGCCTGAATCTGGTGGGAACACCGGATCAGCAATTCTGAAGTACGTCGAATGGTATTCGGGGGAAATAACTCACCCTCGATAGATGAATTGATCACACTGCACAGGTTGCGTTGGCTTGGCCACGTGTTGTGTATGCCAGTCGACCGACTTCCTCGAAGGGCTCTTTTCGCCCAACCATGTGAAGGGTGGAAGAGAGCCAGAGGCGGTCAAACAATGACTTGGCAGCGAAGTATGAAGGCCATTACCAGCAAACTCAGCTGCGCTGGTCACTGCCGTCTTCCTGGATGGGGGCCCCGAGACGGGCCACATCAATGGCTAGAGACATTGTCATACATTGTCAGACATGGCCCAGTCGCGCCCTCAGTGGCGCTCGTGCATCCAAGCTATTGCCTTCAATGCATAGCTTCTTTTCCACCACCCCCCCCCGCTTGCCAACTACCTGACAGTGCTGGATTTATGCACCAATTTACCAGCTCGCGCGTGCAATGCGCAGCTACTTACCCCCCAATCATCGGTGAACGAAACTGTGGCAGCTACAACCAGTGTACGACCAGTACGCGGTTATTACAGCTGATAATGATGATGATGATGACTTCCGTTCGGAATCACGTGCAGCCCATAATTCGGTCACATTCCAGGTTGGATTGCATCTTCGCCACGTCCACTTAAGCCACGTTTTTATGTTACGTGACTACATTATTTGTCGGTTACCTTCGTCCGACAACGCTGTTGCGCTGTAGCTTGTACTTGAGGTTAGTTACCGCTTACTCAGTGGGTGCAATTCCGGGTAGCTTATTTTTTTGTCAGTTTGAACATCATATACGTGCGCACCAGACAAACCAGATAGGATATCGCTCGACTGGTCATTGTATTGGGAGTTTACCTCCACATTACCCAACTTTACTGACGGTTTAGATCTTTTACTCGCTTTGAGACTTGCTCGCGTGATTTCCCATCACCTATTTGATGACAGTTTGCCACGTGATGTGGTATTCGAATTTCTCCCGGTTAAGCTTAAGTCTCAATAATTTGGTGTTCGTTTCAGTATTGAACATCGTTGCGCTCCAAAACAACCACGTTTCGTAGCCTTGCGTTTCCTGCTTGTTTCCGCTTGAGTAACTGTGCTTCAGTTGCTGCATGCCACACCAATAATGTTATGAGGTTAGACAACGTTCTTCCCACCACACGAATACATACATGGGGACATGTAAATTTCGAGTGTTTTGATGTTCTCACTGGATCGCAAGAGTTGGGGGGGAATCCATTATCGTTTTCACGAGGTTAAACCTCTGGTTGTCAATATTGGCAAATGATAGCCACTCGACCGTGGACTACTGTATGGTATGTATGTACGCTATTGGATCAATGAACGTGCGGTATATTGTCACGCATCCTCCAATGTCGAATGCTTAGGCCTGTGGAATTACATAACAGGCGATGTGTTATCCTTTTTGGAAGCAGTCGTTACCGACAATTTTAACAATTTATCAGTTTTCCAGTAAAAGTTTATGAACATATTTTCTTCCTTTAAGAGTGTATGCTATGACCAGCCTTCCCCGGCTCAACTAATTTTCAGGTCGTCGCTCGAAGTGTTTATACACGAACAACACACTGCGTGTTTTCTCATATTTTCGTTTCATCTCAAACCATGTAGTGACTGGGTCAGACATTTTACGCCGCCCTATATTTCGGTAAAGGCCCCTCACTTTTGCGGCTAAATCCACCGGAGTTATCTGTTGTTCCATTACACGTTAGTGGATTTGTGAGCCCGCACACTACAACCGATTCACACAAAAATGTTTTGCACCTAAGAACATTCCTAAGAAAACTTATACGTTGCTTTTAACAGTAACATTGGTAGATCGAAATGCGTAGTTTGCGCGCTGAATTGGCTGAGCGGTTTGGCACCGCCGCTTCGCCACCGGTCATGGTGGCTCGCCATGGCGTTTTTCCGTGGTGAAGCAGATTTCGGCCTCTGTGGTGATTTATTGGGCCCCATAGATGCCCACTTGTAGAAGATGGTCATCTCGAATGGACAGGATTTGTTCATTTTTCGGGGTTGCACTTCGCCTTTATGATTTGACGCTTGCTAAGGCTTTTTCTACAGACTATTGACAATAAAGCTATTGGCGAAGCATTTTGTGAACTTTCTATGTGGTCGAGCACTCTATGAAGGAAGTTATGGTAGTGACAGCGAACTTGTGAAGTAGTTTACTCACTTATTTGTTTAATCTATCTGATAGACTTCTGGATAATGCAGGTTCTATTGTCAGTGCCGTAGTACTGGTCAACTACTAGTTAGATTGGTTCAGATCCAATGCATATTTAACTTCCCAACTTCTCTGTCTTTCTCAGAGTATTCACACTTCAGTTAATAGGGACTAGCTTGATGAACAGACCTGCTGGCTGACCGTATGATACACTTATGCGTCTCCCACCACCTGAAATGCACCTCTGCTATATTATTACGTTCGTCGAAAAAATCCGTTAGCTGTAGAACCTTTTGGGTTCCTAGCTGCCATGTCAACGGAAGGAAAACCGTGGGCGGAGATACTGTCAGTTTACCCAAGCTTAGACAGGAGTAATGGAGATGTTGACGTTGGTCTCGAACTACGGACCTTTCGGTCAATGAGCTGATGTCTTAACCATTGCTATTTCGAGCCCTACATTCGTTGAGCAGTGCTGTTTTCCCGTGCAGTCGATACACACGACTTTTTGTCATGAGAGACCTTTTCCCAAGTACAGTCAAGTTTTGGTTTTTTGTGAAGCTCACCCTCATCCACCACCACCTGAATGTTCGATTTTCGCCTAATGTTTTAAACGATTCGGTCGGTCCATTTGTCGAGTTGCTCTTTTTTGGATGTACTGGTTACGGACAAGTCGTACTCACCAATGAAGTCTTTTTGATCTTACCTTTCTGGCCTTTTCCCCGCCGCGAACAATTATTTTGTCTACGTTTGGGGCGAGCACAGTCAGTCGTCTTGTTTTACTAGTGACACAGAATGACGAGCGTCGTCATGGACCACGAACAGCAATATAAATGTCACGATTTGACACCAAACCACTGTACCTTCTCTTGTATACGGCGTCCAACTCTCGATAACGGCTCTTTTTACCAGCGACGGTCGTCAACACCAAAAAGGCATGAGGTTCTTCGAATAGCTGCGACTAGAAAAGCACTACCTGCAGCGACACTATAGCTGTACGTTTGAGTAAAACTTGTCACGTAATGGGTTCATTTTCAATCATGACACCTCTTAATCCGCATTCGAACGTTTAGCTTGCTGAAGCAAAGTCTAATTCAATTCATTTGGTCTTATGCCAAACCGCGCGGTGTTCAAGGTCTGTTTGTTTGTTGTTTGCTATAATGAACATCACCATCTCTTAGGGAACCACAATAAAAGTCGGGTTGGGTGATCAACGGTCAGTGAGCGTTGCTCCCTTCGAGTTTGTGCACCATAGTTATGCACTGAGAATGTGTTGCAGCTTGACCAGAAAACCCGTTGCTTTATTCGAATTCCAAGAACGCCAACCCCACATGATTCATCATCGACTTTGGTAGTACCGAAAACCCTCGTGACAAATTTTTGGTAGTCGCCTGTTATCGTAGTCCGAGAATGTACGAAGCCTAGTAAATTAAGAATTGCCCGTCTAGTTAATAGTGGTGCTGTTACACGATCAATAAGGAGGCTTACAACTGTGCAGAAACCTAAAGCGATCGCTCAGTTTAAGACAAATGTACGGCTGTTGTTACACAACGGCGGTTTCATATTAATTCCCTCTGTAAATGATCCGGATCATTGCATAGAGCCAACTCCATATTCGATCTCCCCGAAATATATGATTGTTTAGCTTTTGCCCCAGTACTAAATACTGATTAGTCCACAAACCATCCGGTCTGTCAAATATTTTGCGCGTGTCAATAATTTTACGAAACTTTCTCTAGCACATGGGTGCATTAAATAGTCAACAATGATGAGACTGCGAACGCTCTTTCGTTTTCAACGACGGCATCAGGCTTCTGCATTTGAATTCACTCTTTTCATCTACCTCTTTTTCAGAGAAAATGGACAAAGCAGTGTTCTAGAAGCAACCCAAAAGTCTCAGGTGATTTGATTCTATTTTTACAGAACAAATTGCGTTGGTCACTCAATGGTGCTGTTGTGCATGCATTGCCTGGTGTTTCATTTGTGCGCGGTGCATGAGTTTGCCTTTGTGTTTTATGCCTTTTGTCTTTGAAGCTGTTTTTATCAATATGAACGTATGCAGCGCATGTCCATCAGTTTATCCGAATGGTGTTGGAAATTTGTTGTCTCATCTAATTTTGACACTCAGTTGGCTGAAAAACATTTTATGGTCGTCAAGATGTTCGACATATTTAGATAGGCAAACATTAGATGGGTGTAACGACGGGATCCCTGGATTCATCCTCTGTGGACTGCTTTTTTAGTTTTCATTCTAAGAGTAGTACTACCGTTTCAAGTGTATTAGTATTTCTCCGCAACTTCCCGATGCTTTGTGGCAACAACTCCTTTTGGTCAAGATCATAAAGATCCTTTCATATGTTGGACTGGATGCAAGGGTGAATTCTTTGAGTTACGCGAAAGCTTGATTGGGTTCAGTGGAACCTGACCCAGTCAAGCTATAGAAGTCAGTTTACATATGGATTGTGACAGCGTGAGTCATTTGGAAGCTTCTCGAAGGGGAGTGATACCGCCTAGCCTTTTAGCATTGCAAAACGAGGACGAAGCATGCCCGAAGCCCAAAGCGGATCTCACCCCTGTTCGATTTCTGAACATTTTCTTGTCCGTTGTGTATACGATTTATTCCTTGTTTGAGCCAGCCGGACATTATTTCAGCTGAATTTTCAACCAGTCTAACTAAATACGTGACATTCTCGGACTCTTTGGTTTGAGTACGATTTCCTCTTTACCGGAACAAACCATCTAAAGAATAGCTCGAAGTAAGAAACGGTTTTGGCGATTTTCGGTTTTTTGCATTGCATTTTCTTCGTATGAACGACCTCCTGAAAGAAACAAATTCTTCAGGTATGGTTTCGCAATGAGGATTCCCCAGTGAAATAGAGTGAAATATAGAGTAGAACTCAGGCATGTTTATCTGCTACCTTGATTTCAGTTTGATCACCGCGCAAAGTGAGACGGGTTGGAGTCCACTCATTCAAAGACAGCACATATTTTCTTCAATATGTTGTTCAGCGCAGCTCACATCATGTGTGTAGCCTTCGTTGTGACATTGAGTTGGTTTTACTGATGGCTACCTCGTGAAAAACGATCAACTGCTGAGTGATGAAGAAACGTTTACAGGCTAATTATCGAGTTCTGCGAAAATATAAACGGGCACCTGATGAGCCACCAGCAAACGCACCCAAACTACCAATGTTTTGACATATTCCCTCTCTGTTCTCCGATTCTCCATAGAGCGAAACTGTGGCAGCTGGAAGCAGCTTATTCTTGCTGAACAGTTTTGCCGCTTGGCTCGCCTATCCAAATCGAACGAAAACGTTAGCAATTTTCCACTAGGCACTGTTTTTTTTAGGATATTGTTAATCTAGTCAAGACGTATTGCAATTTGAAAACAGGCCTTTGGTAGGCGTGTTCCATTCTGACTTCATTTTAGGCTGAATCTACAATTGATCTAAAAAGCGGCTGAGTGCTCCCGCAAGGCGTACTGTCCCATCGTGCACTGCATCGCTCACTGCGTATCACTTAATGGAATTCGAAATATTGATCTGCGTTGTTATGTGTCAATCACGTTCACCTCTGTTCCAATCGTATGGTGTGCATATTTGGTTTGTTAGTTTGGGTTCGATGACACTAAATCGAAGTTTTCTCGAATATGGTTGAACATCACAAGTTATTTAAAAGTCATTTTCGCGCACTCAATGTTTATCTCCCACAGCTTTGCGAACTCATGAGACAACAAGCAGACCAGTGGACCAACTTGAAGGTTGCTCAGATGAAGGAAATCTGCGATCTTGTGCTCGGCTACATTGAAGTGCGCAAGGAACTTTTGCTCCGGGTGAGTAATACTTATCGCTTAATGTGATTTGCCGTCATTCTGATCAAGTCCACTCTTGATCCGGTCGGGTACCTGGTTGATATGCACTTGGTGGTTGCCAGGTTACGTGGTGTCTGACCGGTAGTCCGATTGGACGAGCCCATAGATCCATGACGAATGGTCGTCCCCTCAAGATGGCAAGCACTGACATGGGAGCAACTCAGTCAGTGGGCATCGACAAAACGAACACCGAAAACCTACATTTGGGTCTTTGTTCGATCACGATATTGGTTGAGGTTTCTTTCATGCTTGATGTTTTCATCTAGCCCATCACAACGATTTCGTTTTTGTTTGTGCAGATAATGAAGGAAGTGCAAGAGGAACAAAAGCGAGAGTTACGGATCGTCCAAGAAAGAGAGGTGAAGGAAATGAGAGCTCAACAAACCAAAGCTTCCATTGAATCGAGTCGATCTGTTATGAATGATCGAAAATTGAAAAATAAAGCCGAGCGGGATCGTCGCATCCGGGAGCTAAACGACTACAACACGAAACGATTTATCGATCAGCGGAAGATTCAAGCCCAAAGGCAAGATAAGCAGACCCAAGAACTAAATAAGCGACACGCTCAGGAAGAAAAGGACGTAATCGATGCTATGCACAAAGTATGTCTTAGGTCACTATAAGCTTTGTTATTTAGTACTCTGCATCAGGTCGCCCAAGAAGGGCGAAACCGATCGTCTTGTCCAAGACTCTTCAGCGACCTTACGAGTAGTGTATTCCGTCTATGCAATGTATACCCTTGTTGCGAACTATGGATGTTTCAACTCCTAGCTTATTTTCTTATCAGAAGCAGGAAAATTGGCATTGATCGCATACATAGAAAAAAAACAACGCCCCCAAACGATATGCTCCTGACTTTCTCATGTTTAGGTATCTGGGTACGAGTGATAGCATGAACGAGAGATTCAACTGAGCCTTCCGTTAATAACAAAGTATTCCGTAAATGGGTATATTTCGCCAGTTGGCTACAACTCGGTGTGCAAGTGGAACATCACGCTGACGCAAGCCTACCTGACGAGCCGTCAGAGCCAAGTTAGTATTGGGCTGTCGACGTGTTTTGAGCAACCGTGTATGCCCCATCAAGCAAATAGTTTGTAATTTTTCCCCGGAGTTCTAGCATTAAGCGAGTGGTGCAAATACAGGACACTCTGAAGTGTATTTATCTGGGGGGGTAGGATTCTCTGTGTAGGAGTGGCAGTTGTTTCGCATATATTTAACGGTTAATTCGAATGGACCTGGGACACTTATCAGGTCACGAGTGAATGGTTCACTTTTGAGAAAAACCACAGCACATAGGTACAAGTCACATAGTTTTTCGGTCTAACTTACGGATGGGTAGTTCGGACATAATCAGGCGTTTGGCAAAGGCTTCCGCCTACTTGTTTCTTCTCCGAACCCATGCATGTCGCAATCGAATGGGTTCCAACGTGTATTATGAAGTTATTCTGACGTTGATATCCGATGAACCGCTGAGTCTTACAATCTGAATCAGTGAAAAAAATAGCAGACAGGATCCATGCCTACCTGAACTGTGTACTTCTTTCCTACGACTCAAATGATTCGGTGTACAGCTCAGTGCATTATTCGTTGTTCTCAGGCTGTCGCCCATGCTCCTACATGGTAAAAACAACAAACTTCAATTTCTTCCTCACTCAATTTCCTTTTTACCTCTTTAGGAGAAAGATGACTTTATCCGTAAGTACGAAGAGGATCTATTGGCTGTCAAACGCTCAACTGTGATATAACTGTCCACGACACCGGCTGTCAACTGGCTTCATCAAACGACTGATAGCTACCACCAAAATCAAAATAGGTTACACCAACTGCACTTCACACTACGTCCGGTCTCTGGGTTATCACTTCATTCCTTTGGAACCGCATCCTATCTGTAACCGTCGAGAGACATTGTTCTGTCTGCAGCAGCTCAGTTTCCGACAATATTACTGCACACCACCTATGTTATTCCTCGTGTTTTCAGCTTGCTCATTGTTGTTTACGTGATGCACATAATTCCCTACGTATAGTAAAGTCAGCCGATCTAATCAGGCGAATTTCCATATTCTGTCAAAACTAGTGGTAGTGGTTTCGTTGGATTTCTACATAACCCTAGTGAGCTAACACTGGCGCCCCGCCGTTTGTGATTACTAATCGTCAACCTCATAATGTATTCGTATTTGTTACCGTCCCATTCTCACTTTCGTGTCCGTATGTCTTTTGACCATGACTCTGAAGTGTTTTTGTACGCCAATGTGCACACCGACATTCAAACGGTTGTGTACAAACTATTCCGCCAAATTTTTGAGTATTGGTTACCGGACGCCGTTTCCCCGCGGTCCTTACTCAAACATTCGATAAAAAAAACCCTACTTCCACCCTGTCAGAGTTATGTGTACGCCATTGGCATTTAGCACCACAAATTGGTGCCAATTGTGATAAACATATGCTATCCATCATTGAGGAGAATTACCCCTAATACCACAGTCTCACCAATTCCTCTCCAACATCCAGCCCGACTTCTGCATATTTCTTAGTTCTCACCACTTCACCTATTCGCACACAAAAAGGAACGTCGCGGGCGAGTACATAAGGTCACGTTGTCAGCCTCAACTAGACGGCATTGAACAGCATGTGCAATTACAATTTCTCCCACAAATGGTACCTGTGTGCGCATATTTGCTGTGTGAAAACCGGACTTCCCACCTCTATCTTTGTACAAGCGCTGCGATATCTATCACTTATCTTTGTACACACTACCACCCGTACATAGCCCACACAATGTTTGTACAAATGGTCCTCTTTGTACCACTGATCATTTACAATGTTTACTGAATACTACTACTATTACGTTACTGGATCATGTCTTGTATATTATCTTGGTCAGTTTGTTGACAAAACAAGGAGTCTTGTGAATGGTCCTCAGTAATCACCTGCCGTACATAGTAGCAAGAGGACAATCGTCCTGTTTCAAGTGACCTTGTTATGGAAGACCTTACTAAGTGCTTCCTCTTATACACTGCTCTTCCCCATCGTTGTCAAGGCTGTTGCAAGTCAACGGATGTACAACTTTTCGGGTATAATGATCCGTTTCAGTGCGTGTGATCTCTCCTTTGCAACCGGAGTTGTGCGGAAACTGCAATGTCGAATGGCATCTTCCAGTTCCTCTACGCTGTCCTCTGATAGATTTCGTTGAATAAACAGTTGATATGCGGGATTTAGTCCCATCAAGCTCAGTGAAGTCACATCTGAACGGACCCTGTCGTTACGCAATCAGCATGGAACTCAGGAACTGAATACAGTGCCCTCATCTTATAGCAGCTTGACAAAATCTTAGTTGTCTTCTACTTCACGGCAAACTTAGCATTCCATCCACCCCCATAAGAAACCTCTGTCTGAGAGACATGTTAAGAGAAACAATCTTGCAACCGAATATTCTCGCAGTGTATCCTCTACCAATAGAACACAGCGACTACTGTGCTGGGAACTTGGCAACGTTCACCTAGTCACATGAGGTGAATTACACTCAATAACAGGCCAAGACTTGCACCAACTGGTTAAACCTTTCGTTTTAGCAAAACAGGCACGTCACTCGAATGATTGCAAACGCATGCTTGGTTGAAAACTGACAATGATATCCTGTCCGCTTCGTACCTCGCGGTAGCTGGAAACATAAGGTTCCCTTTTTCTATCTTTGGCTTTTCTCGGCTCACACATTCGAATAAGCAGTGCCTCAGTGTTAAAACCGGTTTGGACTCCCCAGAATACTATTTTTTATGAAGGGGGACTAATGCAATGCCCAAAGTACTTACTGCGACCTCATCGTACATAGAGAGGACAATCGTCCTGTTTCAAGTGACCTTGTTATGGAAGACCTTACTAAGTGCTTCCTCTTATACACTGCTCTTCCCCATCGTTGTCAAGGCTGTTGCAAGTCAACGGATGTACAACTTTTCGGGTATAATGATCCGTTTCAGTGCGTGTGATCTCTCCTTTGCAACCGGAGTTGTGCGGAAACTGCAATGTCGAATGGCATCTTCCAGTTCCTCTACGCTGTCCTCTGATAGATTTCGTTGAATAAACAGTTGATATGCGGGATTTAGTCCCATCAAGCTCAGTGAAGTCACATCTGAACGGACCCTGTCGTTACGCAATCAGCATGGAACTCAGGAACTGAATACAGTGCCCTCATCTTATAGCAGCTTGACAAAATCTTAGTTGTCTTCTACTTCACGGCAAACTTAGCATTCCATCCACCCCCATAAGAAACCTCTGTCTGAGAGACATGTTAAGAGAAACAATCTTGCAACCGAATATTCTCGCAGTGTATCCTCTACCAATAGAACACAGCGACTACTGTGCTGGGAACTTGGCAACGTTCACCTAGTCACATGAGGTGAATTACACTCAATAACAGGCCAAGACTTGCACCAACTGGTTAAACCTTTCGTTTTAGCAAAACAGGCACGTCACTCGAATGATTGCAAACGCATGCTTGGTTGAAAACTGACAATGATATCCTGTCCGCTTCGTACCTCGCGGTAGCTGGAAACATAAGGTTCCCTTTTTCTATCTTTGGCTTTTCTCGGCTCACACATTCGAATAAGCAGTGCCTCAGTGTTAAAACCGGTTTGGACTCCCCAGAATACTATTTTTTATGAAGGGGGACTAATGCAATGCCCAAAGTACTTACTGCGACCTCATTATCTTCAATTTCACTGACATTGCCTTAAGACAACGACAACGCATAGATGAATTTCCAAGCGCCCCAAACAGCGGTATGCAGGATCACATCAAGGGTACGAGCGGTCGTCGTACACAAATCACAATCAACCATGTTATCATTAAAGGATTTGTGCAGCAGTAATGGTCATCTTGCACATCAATGAGAATCGGTTGACTCAGAGTATCAGATCAGTCGGATCGACCATTCGCGATCGGAAAATTCCGTCATGTTATCCTAAATAAGCTAGGTGGCACCAAAATAAAGTAATCTAGATGACGAGGGGCTGAAGACCACCAGTTGCGTTAGTATGTCTCACTCTTACTGAACATCTAGTACCTCTGCTAGCGCAGCAGTCTACCATTCATGAGCGCCGCTTCAGACAATGAGGAGACCGATTCTTCGATGAAATATACAACCCCTCTCACGAAGGGACCCCATCGAGAAAACTCCTTGCAGTTGCTTGAACGCGATACTGTATTGAGAAACTACCTGACATCAACGAATCGTTGAACTTATGCATCCTTCGGTGATCCAAGTGAGTACGAGAACTTCAGCATAAAACCGTCCATTAAATAGTTAACGGCAGATAACGGTCAAAGACAATTGAGTTCAGGGAGCTGTGAATCAACTGAGAAGAAGTGCGTATCAGCCTTGAATATTCCAGTCACATGTCCGACAATAATGAAGATTGATGAGTTCAAGCTGCAAAAGAAAGGGGAGGGGAAACAGTCGGATGTTTGACAATGAATATGACTCTCAAACCCTAGGATGACGGGCATGTAAGATGAAATGCGCATCAACTGGGACCAAACAAAAGTAGAATATCAGCAGTTGTTACACGTTCAGACTGAAAAATGAGGAGGGGAAACTTCATACAGAATCCACCAGAATTCTATCTTGTAAATACAACCATTCCCAGAACAAACTGAGCACTTAAAGTTAGTGGGTGTACCAATAACTTCTTACGAGTTTGACTTTTACGGCAGGATAGTCATACTTTTGTGCTCCGATAGAAATAACTTCAGGTTTTCGTTTACACTGACGCCTGATTTGATACAGGGACGATGGTGGGTGAATACAGACGGGATTCAGCTTATGGTGGCCAGAAAGTTTAGTCACCAATGTGAAAAGACAAGGTTAGAGGTCGCATCAATCTTTAAAAGGCTCTCTCCTATTGGAAAGCGTCCGTTGGAGAGCTAGGACGCGTTGGAGACGCACATCTTTCTGACATATGCGAAGTTTACTAGCCATAGCTTGCTCTCGCGATGTTCATCGTGACTTAATTTCCCAAGAATATAGCGAGTGAGCTCATCGGACACTGTGACCCCCCCCCCCCAATCAGAATACAGCGTCCGAATACGATAGCCTACACAATTCAGTAGAAATTACCGCACGTGTGAGAATCTGGGACAAGCGCTGACATGTTCGCAAACTACTGCGATACTCGGGGACACGTACATTCAAACTTTGATGGCTCTTTTGTACCATGGTTTAGGGCAAAGCAGCTCTGTTAGTCGTAGTCATTCCCTTCTCGATTGTGTTAACTGTTATGTGAGGTCGTTGCCGGATAATCGAACTTTTAAGGGGCAGGTATAGCCTTCGCAATATTCTACAGCACCCGCATGGTGGTAGCTGGGTTTTTACATGTTGAGTAATGTTCGTACAGTTCAAAAACGAACAGGAATGCCATGAAGGTCAACTTTGTGACGCGGTCACGCCGGCTTCCA